CATTTACTGAGTAACCTGTAAGGCTGCCAGTTTTGAATGGGATCTGAAGCAAGAAGTTTCTGCAGCAAATCTTGCTGCAGTGCATGTTGCCCTGTTACTTGGGCCTTAAGACTCTGCAGAACCAATGGTTTTGGAAGAGTCTATGAAGCCTAGATAGAAGCCTTTACAGCACAGCCCCTTAGGGTGTTGGAGTAAGGCCATGGTTTCCTTGCTGGGAAAACTTTTCTCCATCTGATGGGCAATGCCTGGATTGCTACTAGGTCCTGGTAGTCACTAGGTCCTCAAGTCATCAAGAGACTATATGACTTGAACTGCCCATCGTGAACTGGATATTATCTAATCCACTCAGTCATCAAAAGGCCATGTGCAGCAGCATTCCATTGTTAAATGGAAATTGTGTATGAAATCAGATCCCAGCAAAATGGAAAGGTAAAAGTAAAGTGAATGAGGAAGTGGCTCAGACTTTCATGGTACTTGCTCCTACTGCATCACTGCCTCTCCATCAGCCTACATGTAGGGCCTCAAGGAGACTTATTCAAGGGCAGGGGCAAGGATTTGGCTGGATAAAAAATGTGGAAAGAACAAGATAGCAGTTTGGTGATAAGGAAGCCTAAGAAGGACGTATATGCATAGGCCTCTTATAATGGGCCAGAGTGTAAAGATGTTGGTGTTCCACATAATTGCCCCCAGAGGACATCCACTGTGAAGGAGGCTCTCAGTAATCAGATGAATAAGATCACCTATTCTGTTGATGTTAGCCCCTTTCTTTGGCTATCCTAGAGCTTGCTCAGTAGGCTAATGTACAAAATGGCTGTGGCAGCTGGGATAGGTTGTATACATGTGGTCTTCCCTCACCAAAGCTAATCTATCTACCACCACTTTGAATTGGCAACCTGGTTATCAGCAGAAATCAAAGGCTGAGGCACCAACATTGCACCATTCCCCCCAGGGGACCAGATAGACATTTGGTGGCAGATTGGTTACACTGAAACCATTCCATCATGGGGGAGGCACCGACTGTCTTTACAAGAACAGATGCATATTCTGAATACTGATTTGCTTTTTATGCCTGAAATGCCTCTGCCAGCACCACCATGTGGACTCACAGAATGCCTGATTCATCACCATGGTATCCCACCCAACACTGCTTCCAACAAAAAATATCAGTTGAGCCTGAAGGAAGTGCAGTGATGGGCTCATCTCCATGTAATTTATTGGTCTTATCATGTATCCCATCACTCAGAAACATTTGGCTTGATACAATGGTGCAATTTCTTGCTGAAGGCTCAGCTATGGCAGTACAGCCTGAAAGTTTGTGGTACTGTCCTACAGAACCTAGTATATGCTTTCAACCAGTAGGCAATAATATAGGGTGTCCCAAAAATGTATACACACACTTTGAATAATTATAGAAGTAGTGTTTTTTAAAATACATTTAATTTTCAAAATTGAGCTATCAGCTGTTAAAGTGTATATACATTTTTTGGGGACACACTATATATATTTTTTCCCTTGTAGCAAAAATGTATGGGTCCAGGATTCAAGAGATAGAAGAAGTGAGGCTCTGGCCAGCATGGCTAAGTGGTTCAGGTGTCAGACTGCACACCAGAGTGTCTCAGGTTTGATTCCCTGTCAAGGGCATGACTTGGGTTGTAGGTTTGATCCCCACTTCACCTCCCCGCCCCAGAGGCGCATGTGGGAGGCAATCAATGTGTCTCACAATTGATGTCTCTCTCTCTCTCTCTCTCTCTCTCTCTCCCTCCTCCCAGTGTCTCTCTATATAACCCAGGTCTGTATATATAACCTCACTCCTCGAATGAGGAGAGAGAGAGAGAGAGAGAGAGAGAGAGAGAGAGAGAGAGAGAGAAATGACTGAAGAAATATTTGTTTCCCATCCTTACATCTTGGATTCAGTGGGATAAGAGGTTCTAATGCCCAAGGGAGAAATATAGAAATATATTCCCCCCAACCCCCAGGGAACATGTCAGAGTCTGATGTTTCAGGGGCTGACACTGCCTTTTGGCCATTTTGTGCTCCTCATGCTGTTGAAAGATCAGGCAGACAAGGGGGCATTGTACAGACCAGAGTGGTCTACCCTGATTACCAATGGCAAATTAGGTTGGTACTACACAATGGAGGCAAGGAGGACTATGTCTAGAACCCAGAGGCTTCACTAGGGTACCTCTTATTACTCCTGTGCTCAATGATACTGGTCCATGAAAACTGGTAACCTAATCGAGGTAAGATTATAAAATGATGAAGGTTTAGGTCACTCCACCAGGTAATGTATCTTGTTTTACTGTGCTGCTGACAGAAGGCAAGGGAAATATGGAGTGCGTGGCAGGAAAAGGAAGCTATGATTATCAACTTAGAACATGCTTCCAGCTCCAGAAGCAGGTACTATATCAACTGTGTTTTATGTTTATAGCCTTCTTTTCCCCTTCTACTTTGTATGAAAAGCACAGGTGGTGGCTAATATTTTAGATTTCATGTGGGAGTGAGAATGAATTGACATCACCCTGTAATGATACTGCCTGATGGGACTTTGTACATTCTGTTTGAGGGCCTGGGTTTTTCATCTGGACAAAGGGCAAGAGTAGTGTAGAGGGGCAAAAGGAATGGTCAGTGCTGGAAATTCTGTTTTTCTTTTCAAGTTCTACTTCCCACCCTGCTCTGTTTCCTGTTCCATATCAACTTCATTTGCCAGGCTCCCTTGCATTCTGGCTTCCAGTACCCATCAGCCAATGGGAGGTATCAGCAGATCAGATGATGGAGGAAGAGAAAGGTCAGGGTATTTATTCCTCAGATTCCCTGCTGGGATGTGAACTAGCAATAATTTTACTATACAAGGTCACAGCTCCTGTTGAATGTTCCTTTCCTTATTATTTTGTTTTACTTTATTTTTCCTTATTTCCTTGGTTTTTGCTAAGCATCCCCTCCTTGCCCCTTCAGGCCCCAGCCATGTGCATTTGTTTACTCACAGTGATTGGTGAATGCATGCATTATTAGACTTATTCAGTATGAATTTAAAATTACAGTAATACATATAGAAAAGTTTTCTGTGAAATTAAACTTTCTATACACACTTAATTTTAATTACACAAATGTGTTTACATAAGTAAAAACAGGTAAACTAATTTGTCAAATTTTTAACATACACATTCAGAAAACCTACTTTATTATATAATGAACTTTCAGATTTAACGGACACCTCCTCGCCCGAATTAGTCTGTAATATTGAGGTTTTACTGTACTTCCAGTACCTGAGGTGGTGCTTTACCACCCATCTGTTGATGTCTCTTAATCCTACCCACACCCTTATGCATGGTTCCTTCATTAAAATCTCTTTAATAATCTCCTTTGAGTATGTCATCTGTTTGCTGTCATGAACCCAATCTATACAATTCCTAATATTTCTTTATATGTACCTTCTCTCTTCTTTTTATAATCAGTCTTGCCAGATGTTGGTCAGTTTTATTAGACCTTTCAACCAAACTATTTTTGTTTGTATTGATCTTTTCTATTGGATATTTCTTTTTCGTAATATTTCTCTCTCTCTCTCTCTCTCTCTCTCTCTCTCTCTCTCCCCCCTCCCTTCCTCTATGAAATTAATAATAAAAATATTAAAACAATAAAATAGAAAAGAAATTAACACTCTGGCCAAGTAGTAGCTCAGTTGGTTAGGATATCTTCCTGATATGCCGAGGTTAATCCCTGGTCAAGGCACATACAAGAAGCAACCAGTCGATTCATAAATAAGTGGAACAACAAATCAATGTTTTTCTCTTTCTCTCTCCCCCTTCCTCTCTGTCTCTAAAACCAATAAACAAACAAAGAAGTAAAAAATAGCTCCAATAATGCCCTTTTTAGCATAAGAAAATGTTTTTTTTTTTTCTGGCTGGGGATCAATTGTCATGTCTGTAGTTTCCATTAATTTGGAAGAGTTCCTCAATTGGTCTTTGTCTTTTTTAAAAATATATTTTATTGATTTGAGAGAGGAAGGGAGAAGGAAAGAGAGATAGAAACATCAGTGATGAGAGAGAATCATTGATTGGCTGCCTCCTGCAAGGCCCCCTCCCCTTGGGGGATCCAGCTGGCAACCCAGGCATGTGCCCCAACAGGGAATCCAACTGTGACCTCCTGGATCATAGGACGATGCTCAACCACTGAGCCTGGTTGGTTGGACGTTAGTGAACTTGACGATTTTGAATAGTGCAAGCCAGAGATTTTGTAGAGTGTTCCTCATGTTTCCCTCACAATTAAATTTAGGTTATGTGAATTTTGGGTATGATTAATACTATAAAATTGGTTAGTGTTTTTCTTAGCATCTTATCAGGAGGCTCATGTTGCCCATTTGTCTACTTTCTGGGGAAATTTATTTTCATCCCCAGGTGAACCTGTGTCCTCCCGTTTCCTACTGTAAAATTACTATTTCACCCTTTGAAACAGTATGTGGGTGGTAGATACTTATTTTTTAATTAAAAAAATTGATTTGGGAGAGAGGAAGGAATAAAGAGAAACATTAACTTGTTGTTCCACATATTCATGGATTTATTGGTTGATTTTTACATCTGCTCTGACCCAGGATCAAATCCAGAACCTTGGGGTATCCAGACGATTTTTGAACCCAGGGAGCTATCCACTGGTTGGTTAGGGTTTAGTGGGAGATACTTTGTTAGTGGCAATGTAAGCAAGTTGTTTTCTCATGGTACTTTCATTCCCTAGTTTTGTCTAAGGTGACAATGACACGGGAGACAGTAGTGTTGGTAGCACAGGGGCTTCGAGTCTTCCCAGGGCTGATTTCTCTTTTACTCGTTATATTGTATTCCCTGTAATAGCATGTTTGACACAGTAAATGGCTACACTTTCCCTGAGTAATTTCTTTACCTCAGCATGTAGCAAGGTGTATTGCAATTGACCTGCTTATATGTTTCTTTCCCACAAATGGCAAACTTGTTAAGCATAGACAACATGGTTATTGTTTTTCTATTCCCAGTGTCTAGCACATATTAGTTACTTTAGAAATACATGTTTGAATTAGTTGCTTGGTGTTGAGACTACGGAAGAAGATAAGGGCTACAAATTAGCCTGGGGAAAGGGAAGCGAGGGCTAGAGTGGCGGAAGGCGCGGCTCGCGACGTCACTGCGAAGTGACCCACGGGTCTGGACGACGTCGTTGGCCACGGGCCTCGGGCTTCCGCGGGACGGAGATGACAGACTGGGGCGGGAAAACGAATAGCTAACTCGCAGTTCCCGGCATTCTTAGTGGGCGGGGCTTCACTTTGACCCCTCGCTCGCATGCTACACATCCGGGCTCCTGCTAGTAGTGAGGGGAAGATGGCGGCCGCGACGGTGTTGGTTCCCGTAGAGTGGATAAAGAACTGGGAGAAAACAGGGAGAGGCGAATTGTGAGTGTTGGGACTGGAGGCGGGGGTACGGCCGGGCCCCGGTGTCACGGCGTTCTCCCCAGTTGGGGGAGGTTGGGGGCGGGGAAAGAGGTGTGCCCCCTCCCCCATCCGGGCGGCGGGTGTGGACATTTGGCTAGGAGTTTAGAACTGAGGTAGTAGAGGTGCCGGTAACCACCGCCGACCTCCTTCCCTCCGTGGCCTCCCTTAAATCGCCTCACCCCTCAGTGGGCCGCCTTCCTTTAATCTATTAGCAGAACTCCCGTGTCGCCCCTTCGGGTCCCCGCGCTCCCGCTCTGTCGCTTTTTTGTCCCCTTCTTCGTTTGAGCTCCCTTGGTTCCTTTCTCTTCACGGGGCCGCGCCGGGGAGGTTCGGACTTTTCCCCTCTCTCTCACGTCCCATTTCTTTACTCTGCACCCGTTCGACTCCGCAGTTCGGAGCCTGGCGCCTCCTCAGCTCGAAGTCTGAGGAGAGCGAACCACCCCGGACTCCCCTCTTCACCGGGGCGTTGCGGAGAGCCCCGCTTTTCACCTCACGGCCTCCCGCGAAGCGGTCTGTCAGACTGTCCCGGCCTCGCGCGGCGCCGCTGCCGAGGGAGGGGCGTAGCGGGGCTTGCCGCTTTCCCGGAAGACCTACCGGCATTTCTTTACTCCGTCTTTTCACCTTAGAGCCATTTCGTGTCAGACTCAACTTTCGTCATGAAATGTTTCCTAAACCCCATTTTATCCTGGGACTGCAACTCATTTTGGCAAGTCTCCAAGGTTCTCGAATACCCAGAATAACGCGATTCCTTTAAGTGATAAAACTTTCCCCCCCGAGTCATACATAGCAGTAATTTGTCATACCCGAGGTTTCCTGGCCCAAAATTTCAGCGCTTCCTCTAGAAAATAAAAATGGTTTAAGTAGCAAGACGAACCCCCGGTTAAAAAACAACAACACGCAAATAACTTATTTCTAGTTTCCTTCTTTGAATCGCTTTATTAGCTAAAGCTCGATCCTGTAAGAGTTAACTCGCAAGCCATTTTTACCGTCGTTGCCCACTCCCCCCCGCCCTCTCCCCTCAGTGGTTCGTTTACCGTTGCTCGTGCAGTTTACGGTTGGAACTTCGTTACTTAGAATGAAACTAAACGCCGGGAACCTCACTGTCTCACTGTTTTACTTAACTGTATGAGCTCTAGAATTCGATTGGCGGAGTAAGCGGCCGGCTTAGCCACTTAACTAGCTGAGTGACCTTGGATAAGTTCCTTAACCACTTTGACAGTTTCCCCTTGAGTAAATTGGGAAGAAGTACTCAAAGGAGTGTTGTGTAGACTAAATAATGCCTGTAAAGCACTTGGCTTATAATAAGTGCTCAAGTGATAGCTATTAAAAGTAATATTATTCCAATCTTTAGATATTTAAACTTACTGGATAGCTCTTGCACTTAAAGTCTGTACCACTTAGGTTAGCAATTAATTGGTCCCTGACTCATTTATGGGTACTCTTTAACGAATTGAGAGATCCTTGAAGAGTGGGGACTGTCTCATTTATTTTGGTTCAACTGTCCTGCCTCCCGCCTCCCCACACTTTCTAGCATATGCTTAGAGTGCTTATTAGCTTATTAACTGTAAGAGAAGTCAATTAGATATATATTCATTTCTTAACTGTTTGGAACATTTTCTAAATCCTTGTACCGCTAGTTAACACATAGCTATTTAGGTCCCTTGTGTGCAGGGAAGGCAGGATGGGAAGTTACCAGACCAAACCAAGCCAAACCAAACCATCATCTTTATGTATATTAGATTAGGATAAATCAGTTATTAGGATAAATCAGTTCATTGTTGACTACTTTTTAAATTACTTTTTATTGAGTTTTAGAGAGAGGAAGGGAGAGGGGGAGAGACAAACATCAATGTGAGAACAATACATTGGCTGCCTCCTGTATTCCCCCACCCCCCACTGCTGATTGAGACCCCAATCTGGGCATGTGCCCTGACCAGGAACCAAACAGGCAACCTTTTGGTGTACTGGACGATGCCCAACCAACTGAGCCACACTGGCCAGGGCCACTGTTGTTTGCTTTTAAAAGCCAACTTACTTATTTAGAAGCTCTCATTTTTGTAGCTTGTTCAACTTCTTCCTTCCAGCTGTTTTTGACAGTTTTACTATTGTTACTTCCACCTTGGAATGAGTGGTTTTAGGGGTAGGAGGTGAAATTCTGCTTGGCTTCTGATTGGCAACCTTTGGAGAAAAACAAAGTGATGTAGTAAAATTGGAGTTTTGGACTCACTTTATGTATATTTACACGATCCATGCTAACTGTCATAGTTCCTGTGATTGAAGACCTGCTCAAAACTTACTTAACATCTATGTAGTTATTCCATGGCTTGTGGAATGTAATTTGAATTAGATAGAAATCAGTATAATCAGTTTTATAATTGTATTATGTAAAGAGAGTTTAAAGTTGCTAGTTGTGTGACATAATGAAATAATTTAGTCAAACACATCACCATGCAATACTTTTCTTTTATTTGAAACTTTGTTACACATAGTCTAACCTTGGATTTTTTGGATCTTGCAAAAGATAGATGTTAGCATTTTCATTTTATTAGAACAAATGGTATTGTAACTATATTATAAAACATCACTTCCTTTGTCTGAAAACAGACTCTTAAAAATAAACCAGGTACTGGAAATATTAAAAATGAAAGTAAGCTTTTTCCATGTTGATAGTGCTCTCAAAAACATAGTGAAAATTCCTGCAACATGCTGGACTTTCTGTAAGAAGTGCGGCAAGCATCAACACAACAATGTAACACAGTACAAGAAGGGCAAGGATACTCTGTATGTGCAGAGACTGCGGTGTTATGACAGGAAGTAGAATGGCTATGGTAGACAGACTAAGCAAAAAAGGCTAAAACTTCAAAGAAGATTGTGCTGAGGCTTAATGCATTGAGCCCAACTGCAGATCTAAGAGAATGCTGGCAATTAAGAGATGCAAGCATTTTGAACTTGGAGGAAATAAGAGGAAGGGCCAAGTGATCCAGTTCTAAGCTTCATATTTTGTTATGTGACAATAAAACCTTGACGATATGTTCTCTTCAGAAAGAAAAAACAACAACCCAAAAAACCCAAAGGTAATGTGCCACCAAATTATTAGTGAATCATTTATAGATTTGGCTTTCAGAATATGATCAATATTTAAAATTATATGTAGGGTGGATTTTTCCTTTTTAACAAGATGAATGAGCAGATTAGCTTTAGCTTAACTGAAAATTACCTTTTAAAAAAATGTTGATTTCATGAGGTTCATTTCTTGCTGTCACTTCTTACCAGTATAAGTCTATTCTGGGAGTTGTAGTCAACTTCAGCATCATAGTGGTAAAGTAACATATGTGATATATGGGGCATTTTATAACTTTAAGAGAGGGCAATTCTTTTTTTTAAAATATATTTCATTGATTTTTTACAGAGAAGAAGGGAGAGGGACAGAGAGTTAGAAACATCAATGAGAGAGATCGATCAGCTGCCTCCTGCACGCCCCCCACTGGGGATGTGCCCACAACCAGGGTACATGCCCTTGACTGGAATCAAACCCGGGACCCTAGAGTCCGCAGGCCGACGCTCTATCCACTGAGCCAAACCGGTTCGGCAAGAGAGGGCAATTCTTAATTGGGCCTCATGAAAAGCAACTGTCTATTAAGAGGGAAAGTCTTGGTTTTGAAGAATAAGGTTTGTTAGGTAACTAAGTAGAAAAAAACCTGTATTTTGCTTATCTGAATGGTTCATCACATACCTAGCTAACCTTTCAGCAATACTGATTATGTTTTTCATGGTAAATTACAGAACTCTTAAAATGTTTTTTTTTCAAGAGCTATCAAAAAGACAAAGGAGGACTACCAAAACATAATTAAGTGTCCCTTCCAGTAACACTTAGAACTACTCTTACAAGTTTCACATCTAAATGCAAACTCAAATACTGTGAAATATGCAGGATATGGCTTTAATCACTTTAATTTTGGAATTAGAGTTTTACTTTCTTGATAGTTTCGTATTAGCATAGGGCTTGCTATGATTAAGCTAATAAACTTGCCTGTATTGGTACATCCAATGGAGATTATGTTTTTAGTAAAAATTATTAGCATAGTGAGCTCAGCATTTGTTTGTGTAACAAGGAACCTTGATGTAGAGTTTATGTTACAAGCTCTTAATCTGAAGATGTTAGCCTCATGTCAATACGGAGTCTAATTTTGAAATACTTATATTTGTTGGATATCATCTATTTGTCTGTTTGAAGGACTTAATTCTTTTAAAAATTTACATATCAATTAGAATTTTTAGGTCTTATTAATTCTTGGTAGTTATAATAATATTTTAAAATTTAATTGCCAAATGTTTTGGTTGCCATTTTTATTCTGCTGCTAAATGACTTTACATGTTTCAGAACTTATCTAAGTACATGTGGATGTTCATTAAGTGATGTCTGATCTGAATTTGTTGGAGGGAAATACGAAGAGAGACTTTATGGCAAATAATCATTCTAAGAAATTTTAGTCTTGGTAGTTGAATCTTTTTTTTGGTTATTATTATTTTTTCCTTTTTCTTTAAAAGGTACTCTAAATTCAGCTGAAACTTTATCTGAAACCTTCATGTCTTAGTTTTCATTTGGCATTTATTTTCTCATTTTGACTTGCATTCACAAGTTATTAGTCTTGGTCTTTTTTCTTGGTAGAGAAATGCATTCTTCAGAAATTGTTGTAGCAATATCAGATTTTATAGGCTATGGCTTTATTAGAAAAATTAAATTATTCTACAATAAGGTAGAGTGAGAGCTATTAATGCACTTGTGTGTAGGGACTTGTCTTTTTTTTTAATATTTCCTGTTCTCTTTTCTCCTCAATGCATGTTTTCATTTTCATAAATGCATATATTTCAAGATAAAACTACATGTCCCAATATTCATTTTTGTGGTTATGTCTCTCTTTTAACAGTGATAATAGAGGTAGCACTTTGCTTAACCAAGT